GTGTGTAAGTTATTCTTAGTATTCTCAGTTTTCTCTTTGATTACTTCAGAGTTTGTGATATCCCTGTTTTCGTTCCTGATATTGGTAGTTTACGGCTTTTCTTTTTTGCTTTCTTGCTAGAAGTTTGTCAGTTTTATTGATCTATTTGGAGAGCCAAGTCTTTTTAAAATTTATTTTCTTTATTGTTTTTCTGTTTTCAAATTCATTGATTTATGTTCTTTATTATTTCCTTTCTTTTGCTTGCTTTGGGTTTATTTTGTTCTTTTTCTAGGTCCTTGAAGTGGAAGCTTAGATGATCAATTTGACTTTTCCTCCCTTCCAGTGTAAGAATTTTAGTGCTATGAAATTTCCTCTGAGTGTAGGTTTTACTGAGTCCCACAAATTTTGCTAACTTGTATTTTCCTTTGCATTTTAGTTCAGTGTGTTTTTATTTCCTCTCAGACTCCCTCTTTGATTCATTGATTATTTAGAAGTGTGTTGTTTATAGTGTCCAAGTATATGGAGATTTTCTTTTTATCTTTCTGTTACCGATGTCTAGTGTGATTCCATTGTGGTTGGAGAATGCAATTTATGATTTCAGTTCTTCCAAATGTGTTGAGGTTTGTTTAATGGCTTAGGATATGGTCTATCTTGGTATATATTTTGGGGACACTTGAATGTGTATCTGTTGTTGCTGGGTGGAGTGTTTTTATAAATGTTAATTAGACCCTCTTGGTTGATAGTGTTGTTGAGATCTACATTTTCACTGATTTTTTCTCTAATTGTTCTGTCAATTTTTGAGAGGGGGTGTTGAAATCTCCAACTATAATTATTTTCTCTTTTCTGTTGTTGGGTTTTGTTTAATGTATTTTGCAGCTCTTTTGTTTGGTGTATATACACCAGGCATTGTTTTGGTGAATCAAGTCTTTATTACAGAATGTCCTGCTCTGTCTCTGAAGTTTATCTGATTAGTATTAATGTAGCCACTCTTGCTTTCCTTTGACTAATGTTTACATGATATCTTTTTCCATTCTTTTACTTTCAGCCTGCCTCTACTTTTATATTTGAAGCAAGTTTCTTGTAGACAGCATTTGTTGGGTCGTTTTTTAATTTGCCTGTCTGTTGTGCACCGGCATTTAGACCATAAATATTTAATAAATTGTCAGTATGTTAGGGCTTAAGTCTGCCATTTTATTTTTTGTTTTTTGTTGTTTGGTTTTTGTTTCTTGCCTTCCTGTGGATTATTTCAACATTCTTATAATTCCATTTCGATTGATCTATAATGTTTGTTAGTGTATCTCCTTATATAGCTTTTCTTGTAATTGCTGTAGTGGGCATTATGTTATATACACATAACTTGGCCCAGCCTATGGGTGTTTTCATTTTACCAGTTTTAGTACATTTTACCAGTTTTAGTAATTTAATTGTCTTAAGTATTTTCTCTATATACATTTAGAGAATGTATATAGCATTGTAAGTTTGCTTCAACCATCAAACAAAATTTAGAAAACTCAAAAGGAGAAGGAAAGCCTATTGGTTTTATTCATATTTTTTATATACCGTGTTCTTTTTTTTCTTGATGTTCCACAATTCCTTCTTTTGTAATTTCTTTTCTGTTTAGAGAACTTTGTTCAGCCATTCTTTTTAGGGTAGTTCTGATGACAGATTCTTCATGGTTTTCCATCTGATGATGTGTTGATTTCTCCATCATTCCTAAATGATGTTTTCACTGGATGTAGGATTCTGGGCTGGCAGTTCTTTTCTTTTAGGACTTAAAAAATTTTATGCCACTTTCTTTTGGCCTCCATGGTTTCTGATGAAAAATCTGTTGTTATTTGAATTGTTCTTCATTAAGTAAGGCCTCAGTTTTCTCTAACTGCTTAAAAAAATTTTCTTTGTCTTTAGTTTTTAGAAGTTTAATTGTAACGTGTGTTGGGATGGATTTCTTTAGGTTTATCCTTTTGAGGTTAACTCAGCTTCTTGAATCTGTAGGTTACATCTCTTGCCAAATTTAGGAAGTTTCAGATGTTATTTTTCAACCTTGTCTTCTTTCTCCTCTCTTTCCAAGACTCTAATAATACAAAAATCAGATCCTCTGTTATAGTTACACAGGTCCCTGAGACCCTGTTAATTCTTTTTTCTGTTCATTTTCTTCCCCAGTCTCTTTGCTCTCTGTTCTGATTGGGTGATTTCTAGGCTCCTGTCTTCCATTTTAGTGACTGTTTCCTTCGTTCCTTCAATTCCCCTGTTGAGTCCATCCACTTAACTGTTTCCTTCTGTTACTTTGCAGTTTTAAAATTTCTCTTTGATTCGTCTTTATATCTCCTATTTCTTTGTTGGGATTATTTCTTTGCTGAGGCTATTTTTTCATTTGTTTCAACTGCATTAGTAAGTGCTTGTTGAAGCATTGTTATCATGGCTGCTCTTTGAATCTTCGTCGGATGATTCTAATATCTGTGTCACATTGTTGTTGGCATATGCTGGCTGTTATTTTTTTAATTCAATTTGAGATCTTCCTGGTTCTTGGTATGATAAGTGATATTTTAAAAATTGAAGCCTGGACATTTTTGTGTTAATGTTATGTGTTATTGGATCTTATTTAAACCTGTTTTAGCTGGCTTTCACTGATACCACTTTGGGTGGGGAGTAGTGCTGCCTTGTTATTGCTAGGTGGAGGTAGAATTCCAGGTTCCCCACTCAGCGTCTGTTGACACATGAGGTGGAGGCTACTTGCTACTGCTGGATGAGATTGGGAGTTACATCTCCTTATGTGGTCTCTACTATTTTGTGGGACAGGTCTGCATTTCTGACCCAGGGAAATGAAAGTTCCAAGACCCTACTTGGCCTCTGACACCATCCCTGGAGGGGTTTCAGGGTACCTTATTACAACCTCACAAGTATGTATGGTTTGCCTCCCAACTCAGCCTTTGCTGGCAGGGTGTAAGTGGAGTGTTTGGCTGGGGTAGTAGTTGTTGTTTAAGAATGTTCTGTCTTGGTAAGCGACCCCTTTTCCTGATCCTTTGGCTATAGAGAGCAGGCTTTTGGTGGAGCTATTTTTGTCTGTACTCCTTCAGGTTGCCTAGTTGCAGACTTTTCCAGCCCCATACCTGGGATATAGGAAGTAAAAAAGAAAACCAAGGGGAACTCATCACCATATCATTCCTCAGGTCCTGTGTCCCTAGCTGGTCTGCCTTCTCTTCACTTTTCAGTGTCCAGGACTTTCAGTTGTACTCAGCAGAAGGAAAAGGAAAAGTACATTTATTCTGTTGTCAAGGAAGCAGAAATAAGTATATGACATTTAATAAGAATTAATGGGGAACAGAGAACTTTCCTATTTGATAATTAAAAGGTTAGGTAAAGCTGTTGTATTTAAAGTATTTAATATTGACATAGGAGCAGGAAAAAATATTAATACAAAATACAAGTGTAGAAAGAGATAATTATCTATAGACACTTAAAGTATAATAAAGGAGTCAGTTCAGATTAGTGAGTAAAGGATGGACTGTTTAGCAAATGATGTTAGAATAATTAGCTATCAATTTGGAAGAAAATAATTGGCGTCCTACTTTATGCTAGGCATGCATAAATAAATTCTGGATGGATTAAAAATCTGAAAAACAAGTATAAGAAAATACAGAAATAATCTGGAGGTTGGAGAGCTTTCTAAACAAGACAAATCCAGGAATTATTTAGGAAAATGTTGATAAATTTAACAACATAAAAATGCAAAATGTATTATTAAAGACAAATATAGGTAATGAGAAAATATTTGTAATAACATAATAGACAAAGGACTTAATATCTTTTATTTATTGATCTTGTAAATTCATTAGAAAAAGTCCATATTCAACATAAAAAATATGAAGAGTCAACTCATGATTCTAGATGAGAGTATAAGGTAAATATAAAAACTAAACAATGCAAATTAAAACAAATAATGTACTATTTTTACCTGCCAGATTTGGTAAAATTAAAAAGTTTAATATTCAGTGCCGGTGAGGAAAATAGGTATTCTCATATCCTGTTAATGGGACCATAAATCATAACAGCCTCTTTAGAATGTAATTTAGCAGTGTTCATCAAAATTTTAAATGCTTATATACTTGGACACAGTGAATTCCATCTCTAGGAATCTATCCTAAATAGCAAAAGAAAATTCAAAGGTGTACACATAAATGTTCTTGGAGCATTATTTATAATAGTTTAAATAAAGTAAAAACCTCATAATAGTAAAGTAGTAAATAGAAACAACCTAAATGTTGGTCGGTTGGGAAATGGTTGAATAACATATATTTATACAATTGAAGTCATGAAAAAGAATGAGGTATGTATATGTCTGTGATCGTGTGTATGTATAGATATCCATGATATATATTTAAACGACAAAAGCAAATTGCAGATCAAGATTCCATTTTTATTTTAAAAAGTGCCTTTTTTTTTTTTTTTTTTTTTTTTTAGGAGAGGTATATATAAACCAAGGGAAAAAATAAGACAAGATGAGCTCAGCTGTTAACAGTTGGTTACTTCTGGAGGATGAGATAGACTATAAAGGAGAGGGGAGGGGTAAAGGAGGCTGGAGAGGAGGCATAATAAGGGACTTATAGTTTTACTCTGTATACTTTTTTTTTGAGTATTGGAATTTTGGTGATTTTTATTTTTATTTTTTGTATTTTCTTAACAAAATAAGGGAGCTAAGTGTTGCTTGAGTGAGATGTATAAACCGATTTGTGGGTGTGTGTGTTTTGGATTACTATTATGTCACTATTTTAAGCTTATAAAAGTGAAGTTTGCAAAATATTGTATTCCTTTTTCCGAACTCTTATGAAATGGAAAGAACCGAAGTCTAGGGAAACCTTTTACCAGTGTAAGAATGCAAGAAGAACAGTCTGGATATGAGCACTTGCGTTTTCTAGCAAAGTACTTAGATTTTTTTATCCATAGCTTGAGCCTTTCTTCTAGACAACATGATGATAAGCAAGGACCATCTTTTTAAAATATGTATTTCCATTTTTCTCTGACAGAAATGACGTCAGATGTACCGTCACTGGGTCCAGCCATTGCATCTGGAAATCCTGGGCCTGGGATTCAAGGTGGAGGAGCCATTGTCCAGAGACCTATTAAACGGCGGCCGGGGTGAGCTTGGGTGTGTTGCGCTGGGAACGTCTCTCCTGAGAGCCAGCGGGTTGATGTGGATGCTGAACCCTCGTAGCTGTTCCTCTCTCACTTCAACTGGTTATATACTGTGCTGCCCTCAGATTAACTGTCTTTAGTCCCTGGATTTTTTTCTTTATTTAGCATTGATGTTTTTATCTAAGTTTCTTATAAATAGTTTTTTTTTTTAAACCAAAACTCTCTGCCAAGTAAAGGACTGTGGCTAAGCCCAGAGAGTTCATTGTTGCTGAGAAAACTTTGCTGCTTTCATTGAGCTTTGCTTCTGCATTCTCAAAATGTTTTTGGCAGGCTTTTTACTTTTCTGAATTTAGAGAATGCTGAACTCTAGAATGCTTCTCCTCTAAGTTATTGATATGTTGCTTGATTTGGAATGCAGAGTCCATTCAGTTCCAGAAATATTTATGAAATGCCTGATTAGTGTAAGGTGTTGAGCTGACTGCTAATAGGATACAAAGAAAAATAAGACATAATCCATGTCTTTAAGTTGCTTATGTTCTGACAGGGGTCATCAGTACATAAATAGAATACAAGATAGAATGTGCCAAGTTTGATAAGAAAGGAACAATACAGTGCTGTGTGTTTCATTGTATGGAAATACCACAGTTGGTTGGTAAAGTTTGGGAAAGGCTTCGGAAAGGAGGTTGGTTTAGCAAGACCTGGAAGAATAGGTAGTATTTTACCAGTTTTTTTTTTTTTTTAAATTAAATTTGCCTTTTTCTTTTCTTTTTAAGAATTACATAGCTGACATGATAGCTAGTCTTTAAGTTTTATGCCACCAGTAGTAATGCAAGAGTGATCCGGGGTTCAGGGGGGAGCATCAGTAAGATATTAAGACTTGTTATGTCTCCAAGGGCTTTACACATTTTCACTCATTTCCTGAGTCGTAGGGTGAATAACTTAATTCAAGGTTCTGAACCTGGTAAGTGGAAGATCTGTGATGTGAACCTTGAGAAGTTAGGTTTAGAGTCTACTCTCTTAAACCCAGTGTTATGGTTATATATAATAGCAAACAGAAGCAACATAAATATCAAAATTAGGAGCTTACAGTATAGTTACAGCATATTTAAAAATGGAATACTGTAAGCCATTAGAAGTGACAAATATGTATCAGTACAGAAAAATGTTTACATGTATTGAAAGAAGGGTTACAGCGTATGTAATCTACCACTCTATCAGTAAAAGTATGTGTAATGTACGTATAGCAAAAAAACTGAAAGGATACTCATCAAATTTCTGGATGATGAGTTTATGGGAGACATTTTTTTGTTTGTTTTTAATTACTTCCAGATTTTTCTGAGATGAATGTATATTGGAAATCAGGAAAATATATTAAAAGAAGCAGTACACATTCTTTTAAAAAGATTGGAAAATACAGAAAGTTAAAAAGAAAAATAAAATAGTGATAATCCTGCTACCCAAAGGCATCTCATCAGTTTTTTAGTGTATTTACTTCTTTATATGTAGGGTTTTAAAAGTTACATATAGTTTTAAATAGCCTTGTCTTAATCTTTTAGAAAATATTGTTACATATTCTAGATATACATAATTTTTAATAGTTACATAAAGGGATGTACTTAATTTCTATTTTGGGACATTTAAGTTGTTTTGGAGATTTTGCTATTACATGTAATGTTCAATAAACATCTTTGTACATAAATTTTTTGAATTATTTCATTAGCGTAGATTCTCAGAAATGGAGTCATTGGGTAAGTAGAATTTGACAGGTGATCAGGGACTACAGGGAGGAAGAAGAATGAACACTTTCAGGATTGATGCTGCATACATATATAACCCATCTAGAGGCCCATGATAGCAGGTTGTCATGCTAGTATAGACACCAAGAGATCACTGGGTTAAGGTGGCACCATGAGTAATGTTTTATTTAGTTTAACAGAGTGCAGAGATTAATAGGAGAATGGCCTTCCTTGTTACCTATAATCTTCCCTAATTCCCTGAAATGAAAGTCACCTCTGCTTTCACTGAACATCTATAGCATGTTGATTGTGCTCCTCACATGGCACTTTCCCATTCTCACTTGTCGTATATTCGTATTTGTTGAGGCAAGGAGTCCCTTGAAGGCAAGTCTCTTGTTTTTACCTCATCTTGTGAAGTGTCTTGAACATAGTATGTATTACATGTTTATTAAATGAATGAAGCAAAAAAGGATTAACAACCTTCTGAAGTCTTAAATCACTCCCTGTATAACATCACAGTTTTGAAAGATGTTTCAGAAAGCTGGTAACATAGCTTAGACTGTAGAAATAAAAAATGGGCCCAAATTATTCATATTCATTTTTTCTTGTCTTTTTCGAGTGGATTCCTACTCCTTTTATAGAAGTTGTACTCTAATGTAAAACTTTGGCAAAGGCGTGAGTGCTGTCTTAGGAAAAGGTAAAAGTCGATACTCTGCTTTGATTGCCCGATTTCTTTGTCCAGTTTGGTACAGTTAGGAAGAGGTAACATAGCTTTGCTTGACTTCTGTCTGCTTCCTCTTTTCTTTCTTTCCTTTGGGTGGGTGTTCAAGTAGCTCGTGGGTTGAGAATTTTTAGTTTCTTAATATTCTGTATTATCAGGAAGCTTACAATATTTATTGTCGGTTTTCCTCAGGTTGGATTTTGATGATGATGGAGAAGGGAATAGTAAATTTTTGAGGTAAGATTTTGAAAAACTTTCTCTAGATTTCTGATATTAAAATTAGTTCACAATCTTTATTTTTCTGATTTGTAATTTCATCCTTGGGCCTGGAGAGAGTGCTTCATCCTAAAACTAAGTTTTTGTATTATACCCCATAAAAATTTTAAGCGTTCTTTTATTAGCTCCAGAGGAAGAAGCTCAAAAGAAAATTCTAGGGGTCAGATTAGTTCAGGATTTATAGCCTGTGAAGGAGCAGTATAAATTTTGGCTCTACTTTAATATCTGGTTTAACTGCAGATTTTGTAAGACTAACCTATCTCTCAGAAGCACTTCCTGTCAAAAGTTGATAAAACTTTGCTTTATTCTGTGGCTTCGAGAAGAGGAGAATTTAAGTCATCCAGAGAATAATATTTTTAGAGTTAGGTTTTCTTCCCTCAGCACATCTTTCTTTGTGGTTTCTGATGTAGCAAACAAGATTTGTCAGGTTATTAGGTACAAATTGTTGGAATAAATGGATTGTGTTTCATTGATCAAAGATTTAAAATGCATTGTTTAAATTATAATTTAAAACTATATCTTAAAAACTTCACATCAAAGGAAACAGTGAAAGGTTACTTGTAGAATGGGAGAAAATATTTGCAAATCATATAAGTGGTAAGGAATAAATATCTAAAACATATGAAGAACTGCAACTCAATAGCAACAACAACAAAACAATTAAGAATGGGCCATGGATTTGAATAGACATTATTCCAAAGACGATATACAAATGGCGAACAAACATATGCAAGGATGTTCAGCATCACTAATCATTAGAGAAATGCAAATTGAAACTACAATGAGATACCACCTCATGCCCATTAGGATGGCCACCATTAAAAAAAAAGTAGTGCAACCTCCATACGGAAAATAGTATGGAGGTTCTTCAAAAAGGAAAAAAAAAAAGAAAAAAAGAATTACCATATGATTGAGCAGTCCCACTTCCGGTTATTTATCCAAAAGAATTAATCTTGAAGAGATATGTGCACATTCATGTTCATTGCCCTGTTTTCCATAGTAGCCAGGAGGTAGAAGCCACCCATATCATATATCCATTGACAGATGACTAGATAATGTGTATCCATCCACTGAAAGAAAGGAAATCCTGTCACTTGCTACAACATGAATGAACCTTGAGAACATTATACTAAGTGAAATAAGCCAATCACAAAAGGGCAAGTATAGTTGACCCTTGAACATCTCAGAGATTAGGGTCAAATTAGTTGAATATTTTATAACCTGTGCAGTCAAAAATCTGAGTATAATTTAAACCGTGGGTGGAAACACAGCTGACCCTTGACCCTGAAACAATGCAGAGACCCGCGCAGTTCAAACTCGCTTTGTTTAAGGGTCAGCTATACTGTATGATTCCATTTATATGAGGCATCTAAAATAGTCAAAATCAGAAAAACAAAGTATAATCATGGTTGCCAGGAGCTGGGGCTAGAGCAGGGGTTGGAATGGGAAGATGGTGGTTCAGTGGGTAGAGTTTCAGTTTTGCAAAATGAAAAAGTTGTAGAGATCTTTTATACAACGGTGTGATATGTTAGTACTACTGAATTGTATACTTAAAAATGGTTAAGATGGTAAATTTTAAGTGTTTTTTGCCATAATTTAAAAAAAAGCTAAAACTATCCCTAACCTTAGAATGATGCCAATAGGGCAGTCAGCTGTGCCCTCAGGAGGTCCGCCTTTTTTTCTATTTTTTTGGAGCATCTGAAAAGTAAGGGTAGAAGAAACATCAGAAACTTGAGAAATTATAGTAATGGGTTTTTAAAGTTCTGTGGGATACTGTTATTTTCTCTATGACTTTGTGGTGCTTTTCCATTGACTTTTTTTCTGTTAGCTGTTTTACCCCTTTCTAGTTTTTATTTCAGAGTGAAATAGATATAACAAATATAATGCTTTGAACTAATAACTCTTTTTTCCTCCTTCAGGTGTGATGACGATCAGATGTCTAACGATAAGGAGCGGTTTGCCAGGTAATGTCTTAGAGTATCTTGGTCCATGTTACAGGTCCAGGCAGTTCAAATGTACTGAGTTTTAATTTTATTTCTTATTTATTTATTTATTTATTTACTTACTTACTTACTTACTTACTTATTTATTTATAAGTTTAAGTTACAGTTGACATTCAACATTACGTTCGTTTCAGGTGAACAGCATAGTGGTAAGACATTTATATAACTTAAGAAGTGATCGATCTCCTGATAAGTTAATTTTATTTTATTGAAAGTTAATTTCTCTGTCTAGTCTCTTTCCTGTTCTGAAAGCTGGTGAACTTAGTATTATAATTACCGTGTATGTTCAGGTGATATGGCTTCAAACTAATGGTATATTTTATTTACACTGTTTTTTATGTATCATAGCCATACAGTGTGCTTGCTGGGTGTCCACAGGAACACAAGCAATATGGATTTCTTGGTTACATTTATTATTAAATGGGTCTACAAAGTCTGTACAAATAATGGTTTTATTCTTTAAAAAATGACAACAGAGAAACAATTTTTGTGGAGACCGGAGTTTTGGTTGAAATAAATTTGTTTGAATTATTCATCAAGATGAAAAATACTTTGCTTTTTATTAAACAGTAAATCCTTTTCTACTCAGATATTGGTTTTTAGAAAGTTTGTTCTGGATATTATCGAATAGTAAATTGTTTTCTTAAAGGTTGAGCTTGCAGCTACCTCAGAAAAATGAATAATCCAAATTCTAGTGCTTAACTTGGCATTTAGTGTTTATCCATTGCTGATGCTGCCGGTCTGGGGACCATGCTGGAGAAGCACTGATGTGGAGGGCTAAGAAATATCAGTCAGAGTAGTTTAAAACTACTCTAAAGCAGTAAGATGCTATCATAGACTTTGAATGAGAGGATACTATGTAAAATACGTATGAGATATTTCTATAGTAGCAATTTATAGGATTGATAAAATAGAAGTAGTAAAGTCAGGGGGTGGATAGGAGGCTGTTGAAATAATAAGACAACTATAAAATCATGAGGGCCTGGGCCGGAGTGGTGGCAGTAGCAATAGCAAAGGAGTGAAGTTAAGAGGTTTTTGAAGAATTTGTTTACTGAAGAATTTGTTTACTGAAGTATGTGAGACATCAGGATGTGAGCCGTCTCTAAGATGAGAAGTTAATCATAGATATTTGGGGAGTAGTTTTAGAAAGTCAAGCCATCAAATAGTAGCGGTGGTGTGGGTTCACAGTCTCTTGACTGAAATTCCAAAAAGCTATGAAAATATGACCCAAACTATTTTAATCTTCATTTGTCTTTCTTAATGTGAGTATTTATACATTCATATGTTTCATTCAGAAATAGTAGAGTGGATAAAGGATTATGGATTTGTAGTAGGAGGCAATAATAATAGGAATTTCGGATATTTAACTTTCAAACAACAGAACTCCTTCCTTTAAGATACGATTCGTTAAGCTAGTTCACTTCACATATTCTTGGGAATTCAGCTAAAAATGTGTAAATTTTTTCAACTAAAGAAAAATGATTTGTACTTTGTTAAGGAACTGTAATAACCCAAATGAACATGAAACTTTTAACTACTTATGATCACTCAGTTCTCTTCTTGTTAATATACATGAATTTTCACATTGTTCTCATCATGACTATTTTTTTTTCTGCCGACCATTTTATAGAAAATGCCCTACATTGATAATTATTCTTGTCATTTTTAATAGCTAGTCTTTTGGCCTGTTGATATGTCACACTTAGACATTTTATTTGAGGCTTCTTAACCTTTATATATATAT